CAAAAATTTAATTAAAAAAAAAAAATTGACCTACAAAGAGAAGGCTGCCATGCCTGAGCATATGTAAAAAGTGCTTCTCTTTGACAAAGCCATAAATGGAGGCATGGCCGCATGGATCTTACACATTTCATTGACTATACTACTCATAGTAAATTGATTCAAGACAAATTTCAAACAGCTTTCCACATGGATTATTGACAACTCAAAATATAATGCCAAAATTTTAATTGCTTCTTTTTTTGAGGAAAAAAAAAATTAATTGCTTCTTCATACTCCAATATCACCCTATATACAAACTCCATTCTTTTCTAACACACCCATAAAACCAAAAAAAAAAAAACACTAATAAAGAACCGACTTACTATTAAAACACTCGGTTTAACGTAATAGAAGTTGGTGCAGTTGGCTCACTGCTCTTTAATTGAACAGTTAGAACCTAGCTTTATGGCATTTTCAGCAGATCATTTTGGAAAGGCAAAAAAAACTAAACTTGGTTCATGACTGTTCATTGTTGAACACATATATGCAGCTTTTCTCAAGAGAAGTTTGGGCTATTACTATACAGGCATGAAAAGGACAATATTGTTCAATGTATACAAGTAAAAGTAAGGTGCAAAAGCTTTAATTTGTATTAATTTAAGCAGATCAAGAAAATAAACTTGATTGTAAAAGAAACATGCAAGTGGTGATAGTAATGAATCATAATCTTACTTATGTACAAGGATATATGGGTATGTAATGTTCATAAGTAGGCATAATCTATCGTCCTGCATTTCTGTGAGGAAAGAAACTTGTACCTTTATTGATGTAAAGCATGAGTTATAATACATAGAGGAGAGTAAATAGAAGGAAGTTACAACAACTACTCAACAGATCAGAACTATTTTACATTACTAGCCACACATAGGCTTAACAATTTCTACCTTTAATTTTAATTTTCAACAATATTAAGGTATATTGCAACGATAAAAAGTTACTAGACCAAAATGGCACTAAAGGGTTGCTTCCGTTATATTATATTGGACAAGCTAAAGAACATAGACATAGTCTTATTAGCTAGAATTAGATATATATATATATATATATATATATATATATATATAGTCTGATATCCTGCGTTTCATGATATACTTTGAAGGTTTTTCCAAGCATATTAGGTAGCATTTGCATGGAATGAATCATTTTATATATGGATATATATTATAGTATCCAATTGCATCATGCATGCATGCACGCACACATTAATTTGTACTAGAATGAGCATCTAAGACTCGAAACTTGCCAATGCCCAACATTGCTAGCTTTTTGAAAAGACTGTTTTTTAACATTAGTGTCAGGATTGGGTTTCAGTCATTCGACAGCATCTGAAACAAAAAAGTTTTGCTCATGGGGAAGGAAGGAAGAAGAAATCCAGAATGAGACCTTTATAAAAGTTTGGGAAATGAATGAAGGCCATCAGATCAGAGAAAGAGATCAAGAACAACTTTGGCCCATAAATTAATTTAGAAAAACTCTTATAGCACAAATAAAATCAAGCCCAAATAAAATCACAAAGGAAATCAACTATTTAAAAAAAAAAAAGTTTAATCCACAAACTCGTCTAGTATAGCATATATACAATAAATTAATACAAATTTGGGTACAAAATATGAGTTGTTTCTCTCTTTTGGGTTTGTGGCAAGTTTCCGCTAAAAGCCTTCTGGTTGGGTATTTTTATATTTTATTTTATTAACAAACTTAATTAATTTCGATTAATTGTTTATATTTTTTATTCAATTAGTTTATGTTTACTCTTCTTTTCCAAAAAAAAAAAAAAAAAAGTACATTATTATAAAAGGTTGCATATAATATCTTTTATTTATTTTTTTTTCGTTTTGGACAGAATTGCACTCAATTTGTTAAGTAACACTAACAGCAGGTTTGGCCTATTTTTGTCAATTAATAAGTCATTTTATTTTGATCTCGTGAATATTTTGACAATCCCAAGTCATTTTATTACCGGGGCCAGAAAAAAAATACTAAAAGAATAATGAAAGAAAGCGACCAAAAAATCCTTTAAAATGGCCTAAAATCGAGAAGCATAATGTATTTGGAAACTCTATGGAAGAAAACACTGAACAAAATTACACCCACACCCCGCCACTTAAATTAAGAAAAATTGATTAAAAAAATATTAAATCTTGGTCATCGGATCTTGCATAATGGACAACTCGGATTAGACTATATGTTCTCACATGGTGAGTGGTTCTCATATAAATCAGAATTTGTGTGTGTGTAATAAAGTTTCATATTTGATGCATGGGCATTGGCCTTTTTATTTATTTATTTTTCTTACTTATTTTTTATTTCATTGTTCAAAAGTAGGGAATGCGATGGTATTGAATTTTAAAAATACTAAAATTGTTTAAATTTAATAGTAGGATGATAAAAGTAGACAAACAAAATAATATGATAATGTGTATCAAATATGATAGTAAAATATAAAAGTCTCCAACCAAACACAACTTAAATTTAAACAAAATAGCCCTTACATTTTCACTTATGTTTGGTTAATTGGAAGTTGGAAACGGGAGGGGGGGGGGGGGGATAAGATGGTAATAAAGTAAAAATCTAAATTCCATTGTTTGGTAGATAGGAATATATATAATTAATGGGAAATGAAAGGAAATAGTGAATAAAAACTAAAATGTCCTTGTATAATAATAATAATAATAATGGCAAATTTGTCATTTGCTATTATATTGAATTCCAATTCCGGGTTGAGGGGGGGGGGGGGGGGGGGGGTTGGACACCCTATGAATTGCAATTTTGTAATTCCGAAGGTCTCCATTTGGAACAACAAATGACAAATTTGCATTTATTATTATTACTCCATCCGCCTCATTTTGTTTGTCTAGTTCGAATAACGAAGTTTGATTGAAGTTATTTTTAATTCAATTTTTTATAATATTAAGTTCAGTATTAATATATAAAATGTATATATTTAGAAACTACATTAAAAGTAATATTAAATAAAAAAAATCAATTTTAAAATAATTAAAAATTACTATAGAAAATAAACAATGAATAAAGAGTTTGTTTGACCAATGAATAGTAAACATGACATGCAAAATGAAACATATAGAGTACTACACACGTACATTTTAGTATTTATTCACATTTTTCTTTTCAATTCACAATAATTCTATTTATGTCTATCAAACAATATAATTTAAATTTTTACTTTATTCCTATTTTATTTTTTTCTACAATATTATAATTTTTTCCTTCCAATTAAATATGCCGTTATATATTGAACAAAAATAGCATAATCTTACAAATTTGAAGATATGTTCAAAATGAACAATTACAAATAATTGATGGACCAACAAACGTTGTGTTCCCTTAACTTGGGACTTGTATCTCATCGTATTTGGAGGCTAACGTAACTAAGTAAGCCTCGGCCAATAAGTTTGTCAAGTTTCTTATGCTTAGATAACATGTAGTGATCTCTTACATGTGAGAGGTCATGCGATTAAACCTCAGTGGAAACGTTATAAACTTATAATAATGCAATAGAGTCAGTAACATTCAAAAAATAGTAAATCACTTCTTTTTTTTTTTTTTTTTGAAACCAATACAATATATATATATATATATATATATATATATATATATTCATATTATTCTGAAGACTAGATGTCACAAATAAAGGAATGAGAATTAGAAAATCACTCCGAACCAACACAATATATTCATTCATTCTGAAGACAAGATGTTACAAATAAAGGAATGGGAATTAGAAAATCACTCCGAACCATCCAACATAGAAACGAACTATTTAGCAATAATATGAATTGTCCAATTCATTGATCGTTTAGCAAAAGATAAAAAAACACATGAGACAAATTACTTAATAAATTTTTAATATCATTAATAATCAAATGAAAAGATGACTCCCCGTTATCTTGTTTCAAGCTTTGAACCACCTTGAGCGAGTCAGTCTCCACTTACAACGTAAGCCACTTATAGTGTGCTAAAATAGATGACAAAACTCTTCTACTTAAGCAAATAGAGAAGAAAAAAAAAATGATGTGTTAGTGCAGTGAAATCAAAACCTAAAATTTACCACAAAGTTAACTTAATTTGACTATAACTTGAGTTTCAATTGTGAAATTAATATGCAATTGTACTCATTATATAAATGACTTATTCTCTAAACTTTTATCCACTCCAACTTATTTTCTTTATTGGATGTTTTAACTTTTAACTTTATTAAGCACCAAGCTAAATGACTTTTTTCTTAAGTTTTTTTTTTTTTCTCCTGTCATTATCGTCAAAGCTAGCTCAAGAATAAAGGTATAGAGTGTATAAGTTTTGACTCAAGAATACACAGAGACTTCATGGTAATAATAACAGAGAAAAAGTGAATATGATTTTCATAGTTAAAATTTTAATTAGAGTAGTCGATGATCAAATTCAATTTCGCTGTAGTCAATGGACAATTTTGATTATTAACTATTATTTATTTTAATGCTTTTTATTTATAAAAAGTCATTAGTCGTTATCCAAATGTGTATTCTATGTGTAATCCGTCTGGTGACCACAAAAGATCAGAATGTGATAAATCAATCTAAATTTTTCATAGCGCGGAAAAATAGTTACTCCATATTTCTTTGAAGAAAAAATTACATTTTTCGTTTCTAAATTATTCAATAATTATAAAATTTATCCCTATGTGTTGGTCATACTCATACTTATTTTTCGTCCCTAAAATCCTAAACTATATTAAAATTATAAATTTCGTCCTAATATTTTGTTAATAAAAAGATGAGTTATACAATTGTTATTGTTATATAATTTAAGGACGAAACATGCAAGTTTTCATTCGTATAATATTGTTGAGTTTGCAAATTGGGCCGGTTCGGACTCCGGTCCGATTTGCACTGTAATCCGTTGGATTTGAACTGAACCGTGTTCATCTTGCGACTGGTTCTGGATATACGATTTGACTCTTTTTCGCTTTTTCTCAGCGGTGAAATGGTGATTGGGACGGAATCTGAAAGAAGAAGCTATTCCGTATTTAATACAATGCTGACTTGAAGCCAATGCGTCCACCTTCTCAGCTGCGTCCACGTGCCTCCGATGCCTCTCACGTCACTTTCACAAATCACAAAAGCCTGATTTGCTTAGCAATTCCCAGTATTTTCAAGATTCCACATCATTGTTAATCTTCCATTGTTGAGTGGATCAAATGGCGGAGACCGACAATTCTAACGGCGTCTACGTTGAGCCGGAGGCGATCGGTGACGGTGAAGACTCCGATTTTAGAAAACCTAAACAGACCCCTCCTGCACCCGAGATCACGCTTCGCCTTCTTCTGAATCGTATTGCTGGGGCGGTTTTCTTCTCGGATCCGGATACACCCGGCCCGCTTCTGCACCGGCTCAAGGTCTCCCTCTCCGAAAACATCCCGTTGCTTCCTGAAGCTTCTCAAAATACTGCTCGCAATATTTACGCCTGGACTCGCCAAGGCAGCCCATTTCGTGCCCTTCTCGTTGCTTCTGTGAGTTCATCTGGGATTCCTCCTTCAACTTTTATTGGTTTGATCTTATTAGCTTTTTGCTGTTGTTTCCAAATAAAGGAAGATTTTTTATATTGCACTATGTGTTAATTGGGTGTTGCTGATTTTTATCTGGTCAAATTGGAGTTTAATCACCTACTAATTATTAATCTTGTGTGTGAACCTGTATCTGAACTATGATGCGCTATAGAAATTTTTTTAATTTGAACTATGCACTACTTTCAGGTGGATTCTGAGAATTCCATTATGATGAATAGTTTCTCTGTAATTTTGTGTAAACTTTAGAGTGTGGCTCAAAATGATGGAAGGGGGAGGGGGTTCAATTGTCCTGTAACCCAAAATAAGGTTATCTCAATACTCTACTTTGCAGGTTGGGACTATTGCTCTTCTTGCCGTGACAGGATTGCTACTTTTTATGGTTTTCTTTGTCCTGGCAACTATCAATGCTATTGTGGTCTCTCTTCTCATGTCTTTAGCAGCAGCAGGGGGATTCTTGGCTATTTTCTTTGCCTGTTTAACAGGCATTTACGTTGGGGCATTAGCATTAGCAGTATTTGTCATTTCAACTACAACAATTTCAGCAATACTTGCAGCCTTCATAGCTACAGGTATGATTTCAAGTCTTCATTACCTTTTTTCTTCTACATTGTGTTTTTGGAAATTAGCACTACATATATCTAATGTCTTCCTCTTCAATTACAAGCTTTTTTTGACCCCTTTATTCTGATGTTTATGTTTATGGCTCTATCTGGTTTTTGATATTCTAAATTTCTGAGTGTGTATTTGTTAGCCTGTTAGAGTTATAACACCATTGTATGTGTATGATGACTGATTTTTTTTTTTTTTTCAATTTTTTTTTTTAAAACTTTGCGGTCCAGGTTGGATTGGATTCTTCTTTACTGTGTGGCTGGCAATGTCAAAGAGCTTCTCTCTTGCAAAACATATGATGAACATGACCGGATCAGCACTTTCAGCTTATTCGTCTGCTCGAGATGCAGGCCACAATAATGAATGAATGAAACAAATAATCCAACAGCAGGGTGAATACATAAGTTACTGTCACGGGCTTCCTCTATCACATTTGTGTATACACCTGAGTGCTCGTTAATAAAGTATATGCATAGCTAGACTTGAGATTATTTTCGATGTGTATATGTATTTGGGAGTAGCCTAGATTAGGTGTGAATGCTCGGGTTGTGTGTGATACTGTGATGTATAAAGCTTGCTAGTGGAGTTTTATCATGCTAAATTTTCAGGTCTGTAAGTGGCCATCAGGTATACAATGACATAAAGATCAGACTGTCAATGGTGAAATTGCCTTATTTGATGGCTCTGGACTCTGGAGTTTATAAAAGTGTTTTTTTTTTTGCCCCTCCCTAAAAGGTCGAGGGTGCTTGATTTTGAGGTTGAAATTTATGGGTGATTTAATAGTCTGAAATTATGAGTGAGGTCTAGTTGTGTTTATTGGCCAGAATTAAATTTGGATTCTACTCTTTACCCGCTGTAAGAAGTTGTTTAATGGTATTATGTTTATAAAGTATATGTCTAGACTCCATTTACTTTGTGCATTTTTAATTGCGGCTTGACTATTACAACGCACATAAATTGGAGGTACATGTTTTTTCCCAACTAGGAATATCATCAAGAAAATGACAGTCATTTAGCACCTTCACAAAAACTTGTCTAAGGCTGTCACTCATATTTTATCGTGGATCTGACTATCACAGTTTGTTTCAAAACAGGGATTTCCATGAAACGGTTGCACTGGCTAACGTGAACACGTAGCCACTCGTAGACTTAAAAGTCCTTAATTGAAAATTCACCTCTCAAACCAATGTGGGATAAAAACTTTTTCCAATCATTTTCACCTTCATTTTCCAACTCACTTCGTTATATCGTGGACCGTGGTGCATGTGCACCGTGGTCAAAACGGCGCCGTTAGTTTTAACGGAGTGCGCAGTTTGTATATGTTAATTACCAATTGACACTACAATATATCTAAACCGACATTGCCTCACGTATTATTTTTATATTATCAAATGAAACTGCAGTTATATCAAAATGATATTATAGTTGTGGTGAAATGAAACTGCAGTGTATTAAAATGAAATTGAATAACATTTCACATATTTGAGTGTATATTGTACAATGAAACTGTAATTATATCAAATGATCATGTAGTTGTGTTTTAATAAAACTATAGTGTATATAAAATTAAATTAAATAACATTTTTACATATTTGAGTCTATAAATATCGAATGAAATTGTAGTTATATTGAAATGAAACTGTAGTTATGTTGAACCGAAACTGCAATGTATACAAAATGAAACTGAATAACAAAGTTACTTTTTGCAGAACGGTACGGAACGGTGAAAAACATATGCCGTTTCTTTTCAATAAACAAAACGACGTCATTTTGATGCGCGGTGTATAATCGGTGCACGATATAATTTGCCGTAGAGTTAGACCTCTTTGTTTGAGGTTCTTCAAAAACAAAAAAACTTATTTACTTTTTTAAACTCAAAATTTGCTTTAATAATTTCAAATTTCAAATATTATAATGGTCAATTCAAGATACTTGAAAGTTGAAATCAATCTAGCTAAATTTATCAGACAAATAATTTAGTAATCACAATATATTAAATTTTAAGCTTTTGATTAACTAGGGTCACAAACATTCTGTCGTAAAATCGTACTAATAAAAGTTGGAGCTATTTGAGTTATATATATACACACATAGTTACCAATTTATGATAAAAATTTTAAAAATAGACTAAAATGAAACCCTAAGTCCTTAACATCCTAATTTCAAACCCCCAGAAAAGAAACCCTTAAACCCTAAAATCGTAATTCCTGATTGCCTTCTCCCCTACTATATCCTTAGAGGCGCAGCCCAAACCCGAAAATCGCACAGCGGGCACCGCCTTAGTCACTTAACAGAACGTAGCTTAATACTTTGTGAATTTTCGGTTTTTCAGTGGATTCTGATCCTGCCTTTTGACTCTGTTGGCGGTGATTTTTCATTCTGTTGATTTTTATTTTTTAAAATTTTGAAATTTCTGTATGAGGATTGCAATGTGAATCTTTGTTAAATGTTGTTACTGAACATCCTATAAAAATCAATGCTTTCTTATTCTGTTTACTATTTGATTTCTGCATTAGTGGCTGCTGTGACCAATGGTGAAGGCATACCTCCGATACGAGCCTGCAGAGACATTTGGGGTGATAGCATCCATTGAGTCAAATATCACCTATGAAAGCTCCGGAAAACACCTTCTAGCGGCAGCACTGGAGAAGGTTGGTGTTTGGCACACGCGGCAAGGCATCTGCACCAAATCCTTAGCTCCTTCGCCTTCGTCCTCTTCGAAAGGGCCATCCCTTGCCGTTACCTCCATTGCAGCATCACCTTCAACTTTTGTTAGTCTTACATCTTTTGCAGCTTCAGTATCTTTTTCAATTTCACTTGTCAATCTTACTGCTTAATTATGTTGTATAGTAACTGTTATAAAGTTTGTAGCTTTATAGACTTTGATGATAGTTGGACTTTAGTATGTCTAGACATCTAGTTCTATTATTTTTTGGAAACAAAAGTAGTAACTAAACATATATACGGAGTATATAGTATGTATTCTGTTGTCATAGGCTTGGAGAGTTTTTGTTGGTTATAGTGTTTGGTTTACTATTCTCTAGGCCACATATGTACTTTGAAAGTGAAGAAATTTTTAATTTGTTTGGCTTTTCATTTCTAGTTATTCAATTAACTATTCAAAGGAGCAAGCTTTAGATTTCATGGCAACAATGTTCTATATCATGCTTTCTTTCTCTACCCTGTGCTCTGTAATAAATAGAAACATTCTAAAATTTGAAGCTTTTTTTTATGGTTTGGTAGTGATAATGATGATTGTTGCAGATTGCGAGTGGTTATGCCGATGGGAGTATAAGAATATGGGATTGTGATAAAGGAGCTTGTGAAACCAGCTTAAATGGGCATAAAGGAGCTGTAACTGCTCTTCGCTACAATAAAATTGGATCTCTTCTTGCATCAGGGAGCAAAGATAATGATGTAATCTTATGGGATGTAGTCGGTGAGGCTGGGTTATTTCGACTTCGTGGACATCGTGACCAGGTTCATGTGCCAACATTTGATAAAGATGGTGCAATTTATTTGTTTTCTCTTTCATCATATGCAACTTGTGATTGTTGAAATTCTCCTTTCTATTTCCCTTTGTAATACAGGTCACAGATGTTCTTTTCTTGGATTCTGGGAAAAAATTGGTCAGTTCTTCTAAGGACAAGTTTTTGAGAGTATGGGACCTTGACACTCAGCACTGCATGCAGATTATTAGTGGCCATCATACTGAGATTTGGTCTATAGATGTTGACCCTGAAGAAAAATATCTGGTTACTGGGTCTGCAGATCCAGAGCTACGATTTTATACAATTAAGCATGATGCTGCTGCTGATAATCCTGTAGCTGACACTTCTACGACTCAAAGCAAATGGGAATTCCTGCAGCCATTTGGTGAAATTCAACGACAGAGCAAGGACAGGGTTGCTACTGTAAGGTTCAACAAGCAAGGAAATCTACTGGCTTGTCAACATGCTGGAAAGACTGTAGAGATATTTCGTGTGCTGGATGAATCTGAATCTAAGCGCAAAGCGAAAAGAAGAATCAATAGAAAGGAGAAAAAAATATTAAAAGGGGGGGTCGCACCAGATGAAAATGGAGATGCAAATGTTGGAATTCAGGAAGAAGGCAAGGCTCCTGTTATTACTGTCCTTGATGTTTTTAAGCTTCTACAGACTCTGCGAGCTGGAAAGAAAATATGCTCAATTTCCTTTTGCCCAGTTGCTTCTAAGGGGTCACTGGCTACTTTGGCATTGTCTTTGAACAATAATTCGTTAGAATTTTATGCAATTGAAAGTGACACAGCAACCAAAACTAGTAGTATTGAGCTCCAAGGGCATCGTTCTGATGTGAGAAGTGTCACTCTTAGTTCTGATAACACTCTTTTAATGTCAACAAGTCATAGTGAAATTAAAATATGGAACCCTAGTACTGGTTCATGCCTCCGTACCATTGAATCGGGATATGGATTATGTGGTCTATTTCTTCCTGGCAACAAATATGCAGTTGTAGGTACAAAAGGTGGAACTTTAGAAATTATTGATGTTAGGAGTGGTACTTGTATTGATGTGGTGGAAGCTCATGGTGGTTCAGTTCAATCTATTGCTGCAACTTCAGATGGAACTGGTTTTGTTACTGGTAGTGCCGACCATGACATTAAATTCTGGGAGTTGCAGACTACACAAAAGCCTGGTCAGGTGTGTTACATTGTCATACATAATCTTTGCTTTGTTATATAGATGTGCATGCAAACAAAATTAAAATAGAAAAGATAAGAGAGTAGCAAAAACAGTATAGCAGGAAGTGTTAATGGAATTTTATAGTGTTCCTCATAACTGCCCCTGCTTCCCCAAAAAATAGCTGCCCTCCACTTCATAGTAGTTTTGCTATATAAACTCTATTCCAGTTCTAAATACACTACTAAAGAAAAGAAACTTCTGTGCAATCTAAACCTAATGCGGGTGTTTTATTTTCAGGAGTCTAAGCATATTACTGCCTCTCCTGTGAGGAATTTGAAAATGAATGATGATGTTCTTGTTGTTTCTGTGAGCCCTGATGGTAAATACATTGCTGCTGCACTTTTGGATAGCACAGTCAAGGTTGGATGTAGTTCAGTTTCGAATTTTAATTTTTGAAAAGGAACTAATTTAACAAAGATATGCATTTTTTGTCTGAATTTGTTTTAAAAGGAAACTCCTATTCCTGAACAAGCACTACAATGCTTCTTGATCATACTACATTCTGAACTCTAACTAATACTTGATCACTTGATGTGTGACTGTAAACATTTTCAGGTGTTCTTCATGGATTCTCTCAAATTTTTTCTTTCATTATATGGCCACAAGTTACCTGTGCTATGTATGGATATTTCTTCTGATGGAGATTTACTTGTTAGTGGCTCGGCTGACAAAAATTTGAAGATTTGGGGTTTGGATTTTGGGGACTGTCATAAGTCCATCTTTGCTCATGCTGATAGGTGCATGCCTACATCACAGATTTCTTTGATTTGTAATTATTTTTCTAACTTGAAATATGTATGAGCAAATAAGTGTTGACGAGTACATATCTTTTCTTTGCAGTGTCATGGGTGTGAAGTTTGTGCGCAATACTCACTATATGTTTAGTGTGGGTAAAGATCGTGTTGTGAAATACTGGGATGCTGACAAATTTGAGTTGCTTTTAACACTTGAAAGTCACCATGCTGAAATATGGTGTCTGGCAGTTAGCAATCGTGGGGATTTTTTTGTAACAGGTTCCCATGACCGTTCCATACGCCGCTGGGATCGTACTGAAGAACCATTTTTCATTGAGGTATTGCATATTCTTATCTGTTACTCTACATTTGTCATTTGCTGTATATTGAAACAATATAATATGGCATCTGCCAATGACCTTGACTATAATTGGCCGAGGTGAAGCCTCTTAGACCTAAGGTTTGGTATTGAAATCTCCCATATCACTCTGATGTATATGATAAACATATATTATATGCAAATTATTGATTGTATTCCAACTAATATTTGTCTAAAAGGGATGAATATTTGTGTTCAAATTTGCAGGAAGAGAAAGAGAAAAGGTTGGAGGAGATGTTTGAATCTGACATTGACAATGCATTAGAGAATAGATATGGACCGAAGGACGAGCTTCCAGAGGAGGGAGCTGTGGCATTGGCAGGAAAGAGGACTCAAGAAACCCTCACTGCAACAGACTCCATTATTGAAGCATTAGACATGGCAGATGTAGAAGCAAAGCGCATTGTTGAACATGAGGTTAGTGGTGTGCTTTGTCACCAGAAGTTTCCATTTCTGTTGCATGTAGAGACTTATGATTTGACGTTGTAAACTCTGAAAGAAATCTGAATCACCCTCAAGTAAAAACCAATCCCCCTTTTATAAATCTTTAAAAATCAGTAATTTTGTTGTTTTTCTCCTTCTGTGGTGAGTAGGTGTGGAATTGTCACTTAATTGCTTTAGTATTTGGCTGTCTATAACTTACACCTTTCCTTTCTCAACTTTTAGGAGGAGAAATCAAAAGGCAGAATTGTTGATTTCCAGCCAAATATCCTTATGCTTGGGCTATCTCCATCTTCTTATGTTCTTCGTGCAGTTTCAAATGTTCACACTAATGATTTGGAGCAAACCTTACTGGTAAGTGGGTCAGGTTATAATCATATTTTGAATTGCAATTTGCTAATTGATTTTTTTTGAATTCATATTTATTTGGGGGTTCTCTCATGTTAAAACTTTTAAAAATGGAAAACTCTATAGTCGTTTATTCATTGTTATCCATAATTTCACTTGGGCAAGATATGTGAATGCGGTGCCATTATCTCCCCTTCTCCCTGATTGCTTATTTAACAATAAGTTGTAATTTCTTAAAGGAAAAAGTTTCATAAAAAAAAGTGAAACTTGGCTTTCTAAAAAAGAACTATATTTTTGCAGGCACTGCCATTCTCTGATGCACTGAAGCTTTTGTCTTACTTGAAGGATTGGGCCTCTATACCTGATAAGGTACATTTGTGATTTCACATTTTCATCATTTCATGGCCGGCCCATGCAAAATCTTCTATATGGATTGTTACATGAATAGCAAAAAATAAACCTCCATTTCTGTTCACTATTGTTGAAATATAGAAACGCAAGCCAACCTAGGTCTATGGTAGTGTTTTTATATTTCAACAACTATTAAGTCATAGATAACTTTCTGCCCCACATTGGACCTACCTATTATTCGGACATTGTCACATGGATGTCATGTCATTTCTAGTATTACAGTGAAACCGGTTGTTTAAGCTTTTGCTCCCATTATTATGCATCTTATAATCGGAGTGTCGTCTTTATGTGATTATTATATATGCATTCATTAGCTCCTTATCGCCTTCATTACCCATTTAGTTCTAAATGCTCAAGTATAATAGCATTTATGGTTAAAGATCTTGGGGAAACAGGATGAAGTCCATATTCCATAATAGTGTCTTTTCCTCTATTTCTGCTTTTTCCTTCTCCTGCCTTCATTTGGCAATATTCTCCTTTCAATGTCTTGGCAGGTGGAGCTTGTATGCCGGATGACCACCGTGTTGTTACAACTGCATCATAACCAGCTTGTTTCAACTGTCTCTGCTAGACCGCTACTAACCCTTCTAAAAGAAGTAATCCCTGCAAGAGTCAAGGTAACTATTGGATCTTTTTCTACACCGTTTTTCTGAGTCCATACACTCCATGCAATTGTTTTTAAAGTGAAAGTGAGAATCTGCTTTGGGTTAAACAAATGCACTTCAATGAGTTAATGTCTGAATTGGTACAGGAATGCAAAGATACACTTGGCTTCAATCTGGCAGCGATGGATCATCTCAAGGTAAGCAATCAAAAAAATTGGTATTGTGCCTTTGTTTTCACATCAATCTGGAAGAAGCTTGACACTCTTTTGTTCCTTATCTCACTCAGCAAATGATGGCTTTAAAGTCGGATGCACTCTTCCAAGATGCAAAAACTAAACTATTGGAAATACGTTCTCGGAACACAAAACGCATTGAAGCAAGGACAGAACTAAAGGACGAGAAAAGGAAAAAGAAGAAGCAGAAGAAGTCTGATGGAGGACATGTTTGGTCCTGAATCCTGACATGCATTGAGAAACTATGTCTGCAATCAGCACTCTTAACAATTTTGACTATTCGAGCTTTTAGTGGATTAGAGGCACGAGCATAGTTATTAGTTTTGTTTGAATGTTGTAAATAGAAGGTTGAAATGAATGTGGAGAATTAGCCTTCACCATCTGAGTTATATATTGGATGGGCATTCTGGAAAAGACAAGTTCTATGAATGCCTGTCCTAATTTTTGAAGAAAATGAGGTTGGTTTGTTGTCAAAACATGAGCCTCTTAAATCTTTCCTATTTTAAAATGTCCTTTCGTTTGAGATTGATTATAAAATGTTTGTTTTACTATATATTCCAAAGCAACTCCTTTATATTTCCTATTTTAAAATGTCCTTTTCTATTAACTGATTGAGTAGTGTAATTTGTATATTGGGTTCCAAATCTCTTTATCATGTTTCTCTATCTGCTGTATTTTGTCATGCTTGAATTGCCAAAAGATCATGAAGTACATATCATAACTAGTAGTATATTATATGTGTCCTGTATTATATATCATGATAATGTGAATATTCAAAGATGTAATCATCAATAAGAACAGAACACTCTTTCAAAAAAAAAAAAAGAACAGAACACAGATAGGTCATGTTTTGAAAGTCTGATTCATGTACAGGGACAGGGTAGGGTATTCAATTCTACTAAAGCATAAATGCATGTTCTGAGATGAGCTGTATTTACAAGTAGGTGCGCAATGTGTTCTGCAGAGCCGGAGGCAATGCTTTACATATGGCTACAAATTTGTCTCCCAGTTTGAGCCTGAACATCTTCAACTGTTGAATCATCTTGCTCTTGGTTTCTTCCTCGGCTATATGTTCTCCAGCCCACAGAACCTAGGGAAAACCATAACAAACATGATCCATCCATGTTAATAATGGAGAAGATCAGAGAGTGAAAGCAATGGTTGGTGAGATTTTGACCTCTCACCTCGGCCATAATTGTAATTATTCTTCTAACATACTCATCATTGGGACCAGTAACCATAGTCTCTGGCCTGAAAGTGAAACCAGGATGAGTCAAAAATTGAAGTGGTACAGTGTTCCTAATTGCTGGAAGTGTACTCACTTGTCAACCATGGAACAAAGCAGTCTGTGGGCAGTTTTGGCTTCACCGAAATTACATTTCAATGGCAAATGGAAGAGCCACAGGTCTATATTCTGCATATGCATTCAACAACTCTGAAATGCTCAGGATTATATTTTGAATCAATCACAATATAATATATTAAGCTTAGATGACTAACATCCAAAGTTCATTATATTAAATAATTTCTTTTTCCAGTTTCCACATCTTGTAATGGCTAGCTTACCTGGTACGACTTAATTTCTTCACAAAGGAAGAAACAGAGTTTCCCATAAGCAGAAACGGCAGCTTCTTTTGTCATGGAGCGTTCTAGGCTACTTTCACCAGGGGGCTGAAATATAGCTTCCAGACTAGCGAGTCCATCTGCAGAGTAGTTGGAATGGAATCGCTTGCTGCCAGTTCACACCAGAAAAACATATAAACAAAACAAATGAACACACATACTATTTGGGCTACCTTGAAGATGCAGCTTAAACGCTTCTCTACCAAACTCAGCATATATAGCAATTGCACAGATAGCGATCTGCAGATGGAAAGTATCTGAGCATAAGTGGAAACGTAACCTTTAATTGTGTGTGAGCCTGTGAGGTGTGTGATAACTACAGAAGCGTGTAAACAGAAACCTGTTGAATGTCTGGATTTGTATCATTGCAAGCTCCCAACAGTGATGGAATAAATTTTGTATATAGCCTTAAACCTTGTTCTCTGCAATACACTGCAATGTCACTAAAAATGCTCAAGGCCATTTTTCTTTCTTCAGGTGTACTATCCTTTTTCTGCAAAAACGTGACTAAGAAACATTAGTCAAATTCTCACAGGAATATGATACTCGCAAGGAAATCAAGATAGTAGTTAAGTGAATTGCAAGGATGTGACATACCCACATATGTTTTACATAAAGAATTGTAGAGAAGAGCTTTTCAGCATCGGGCTTTTTTAACAAAATTTGCACGCAAATGCGAACCTGTTTCAAAATATTTATGAAAAACAAAGAAATTTCATACTAGTGGCCAAAAAACAATTGCAGATCAATACTTTATTCAGCTCAAAAGGAAGTAAAACACTTACTTCTCTGCAAACATTTTGCTCCTCCTGAATTTCCTCCTTGACCAGTTCAGGCTTCCTAAAGTCTAAGCTATACTTTGCCATATTTTCTCTTTCCTTTTTCCTGTTGAAGCATGCTGAGAGAACCATCAATATGCTGTCAAGAATTTCTTTCTTATCAGGTTCCCAAGTACTAGCAATCTGAAAAGGAATTCGAAAAATATAAGATGCACTAGTATTTCAAGAACATTAATTACTGTTTAAAATGAAGGAGAAAGAACCTGCATGCTTTCTTTCAATGCCACCAATGCTTGCGCTTGAGTTTTTATGGTTGGTGCCTATGAGAAGCAATTTCATGTACACTTTGACATCTTTAAAGGAACAAACCAGTTTTATGTCTATTAATAAATTTCAGTTTCAGAAGCAAGCATGAGATAATTTACCGCTAAGGCTTCAACCAAAGTTGGGATTATGATCTTAGCTAAAGTAATGATCGGAGAATCTAAAAATCCTGGAATAGGAAGCTCGTTTTCCACAGCAGTAGCAGCTGATCGCAACAGCAATGGCATTACTACGATACAGTGTTTAAACATAGAATGATTAGACCTTATATAACTACTGAGTTTGAACACAGAATGATTAGACGGTTTAGACCTTATATAAATCTCATAATCTGTGATTAGGAAACACCAAAGCTTACCTGATATTGCAGCTACTCTAACTTCTTCATCAAATTTAAAATTGACAAGTGGAAGTACACCATTTAAAACCTGCATTAGTCAATAAATTCACAGGTTATTTTTGTTTCTCTGAGATTCCATTCTATAGCTAAGAATATTGACAACCTTTTTAATCCACAAATGCAGTCCTCCTTTGATATGAATAGCAAAGCAGCGTATCGTATTACAGGCCCACAACATCTCCTTCAAGATAATGCTTCTTTGCTTGAAATTCCTATCAGAAGATGTGTATATTACCAAAAGAATAAAGGCAAAGTTTCCAGCCATTAGAGCATATGAAGAAGTTGGAAAAACATATTTCAACTCAACTTCAACATTTTTTATACAGACAAATAGTAAACCTTACACACCATGATCTAAACTAGGACATCTTTTCCACACATCACATGTAAAACATTTAAATTTAACATTAAGAAAAAGTTCCAACCCAAAATTATTCTTTAGGTGATCTTCCAGTTTAGCAGACTCAATCAACAGAGGCACAGAAGCACTCAGGTAAGGACGGAAGTCCTCCCCTAAAGATACGCATATTCTCCCCCATGCCTGCGGAGATAGTACATATGTAAGACTCTGGTGGTTCAGTGCAGACCAAGACCAAATAAAATATTGCATTAACATACTTGGAGCAAATAACATTTCACTTGATCATCCATATCAACACGGTTATGTTCTGAGAGAAGAACGTTAACAATCTTGCAAGACATAACATTAGGGACAATAGGATCTCATTAGCATGAATAACCAAGAGGATTAATTTAGCTTACAGGAAACACAAATTTATATATAATTATATAGTCACCTCTTCAACATCAGTAGAGAATACACTTTTTCCCACAGCCACTGCAACCAAAGTGATGCACTCTAGGGTTTTGGCAACTAGCATGCAATTGGAAGTTTCTGTTATTAATATAAGTTTTAGGTAGGGCATAACCATGGGATAGAATGGTCGAAAATCATCCTGCATATTCACACAATCAATGATACTAGTTACCAGCTAAGTTTTAGTAGGACACAACAATCCTTAATTGTGAAAGATGAGATCAAATTAAGTCCTGAAATAAATTGTGGAAGTTACCTTGGTTGAATCAGCTAACGAGGCTAACTCAGTCAAAGCTGTTTCTTTCAAAAATGTCTTTCCTGCCTGGGCGAGAAAAAATGTGTTTTAACAATTCAAATTACAAATGGATGACAACTTAAAAAGCTGCATCTCTAATCAATATATGTGCATAAACAATTGAATGCCACTTACCTGCAGGAACATAAGCAATTTGCTAATCATTTCTTTCAGGTATGGTTTCAATATATTTGAACAGCAATTCTGGCAGAATTTTGACATTGCCCTTGCTGCATATGTCTAAATAAAAAAGGAAGATAACAATATAAATTAATTATTACTTGCACAGGATTTAATAGGAAAAAGTGGGGAAGTAAAGAAAAAGAAAGCTAATATTTGCAAATCAACACAAAGACTGAAATAGCATATTTTCTGTGTTAGAAGCTAAACACACAAATGCATCCTGAAAACTTATTATATTTGCAAATCAACACAGAGAACCCATGAACCTTAATTCTTTAAAACAACAAATTTAGTGAGAGGGAAATCACAATTACCTGCACTCTGGGGTTGCTAAAATCATCCATGACTTCTGATAAAGCAGGAATAACTTGTTGATGACACTGTTCTTGAAAAAAGGGACTCAGGTACTTTGAGAATTCAGAAATTGCATAGATAGCTGCCCAGCGCACGCGAGGGTGCTGATCACTAACTAGTGCCATTGTTTTTTCCAATGACTCTTCCAGGTATTGTACTAACATCTGATTTAAAAAGCACACCAATAATGAACCATGAACTTAACTAACAAGGGAATCTAAGTAATAAGAGGTATTGTCACTTCGTTACCTTTGAGCAACCTGATGCAATTAAGCCAAGGGCCCCTGCTGCAGCATAGCGCTTTTTCCAATCATCATCTTCAAAGAAATCTGGGAGCGAATCAGGAGAATTGGGCACAACTACATCTCCACCCAGGACTATCGCCAGTCTGCTCAAAGCATCCTCAGCACAACAGGACATAGCCGTTTTGCCTGCATTCATATCATAAACATCTGCTTCGCTCCAAGAAATGTCATCCTCAACGCACATCAGCATTTGAAGCAACTGTGTCAGCAAGTCTTCAATTAGATTACTGGGCAGATTCTGAATCATTGCGTTACTTTCATCTCCGCCCTCAGCCACTGTGATGAAGAAGTTAACTGCTAGTATCCTCATCTTTTCGTTCAAATTAGTATCGCTCGCTATCACAAGCATTGCCTCTGCCAAGTACTTAATATGAAGTGCGAAGAAGCTTGGTTTTGCTTTGGCCGAGATAGCCATTGCATCAAGGGCATTACACGCAAGATCTTGATCATAAACATCATCCCCCAATACCGTGATCATTCTGGTCAACAGACCATAATACTGGTTATGATTTGAAGGAGTAGCTAAGTGCAAAATAAACTTCGCCGCGGCACCAACAGTGGCGATTCTGGCTCTGTTATCGTCCTGATCCAGTAACCGCTTAAACTCTAAACTTATAGTTTCGACATAGGGACTAAAAGTATCAGGACATTTTGGAATCAGTTCGTAGAGCAAAACAACAGAGGCCCATCTTGTAAGTGTTGAGTTTGGAGAAGATAACCATTCGAACATCAATACCACCAATTCGGGCCAATCTTGCTTGGGTAAAAGCAGAGCAGCTATGCTTGAAACACAGGCGCAGTGAATCTTGAGGATCTCCCATTCCTCCTCATCCTGGAGGAGCTGGATAAAGAAGGTCTTGAATCTTTTGTTGAGAATATGGTGGATGAGGGGAGATTTAGCCGCAAGATTACGGGAGAAGAGGGTAGAGCAGCGAAATCTGGTTTGGGTATCAGGACTGCTGTTGATGGCTAAGGCGAGCTTGTTAGAAAGAGCATTCGGATACTCGTTCATGACGATGTTGTAGAGGGAGTCGGCGGGGTTGCGGAGGGCTTCGTCCTCAGAGAAGAGATAATTGACGAAGTCGAAGAAACCATCTCGGTTATGTTCGTTCAACAGTTCTTTGATTTGGGAGTGAATTGGATTCTGTTCAGAAGTAGACGGAGACTCCATGAGAAAGAGTGGAGGTTCTTGGAGCAATGGAGAGATGACACACAGAAGGAAAGAAAGAAAGTGGGTTATGGCGGGAGGTTAAATATGGATCCCCTCCCATCAACGGCCATTTTAAGTTTGTAACTGCCAAGAAATTTAAAAAAAAAAAAAAACAAAAAAAAACAATAGACTCAGAATTTTTTAGTAGCCGAGTGCCTGAATTCACAGTTAACTTCCCCCAAAAAATCAAAATCCCTAATCATCTCTCTCAAATCGGGCGATCCATTAATATAATGAATATGTTGAAGGCTTTGAAACAATCATCAATTCAACCAAAGTCTGCTTATAATCCGAGATAGCATCTATATATCGGAAAACTTAAAAAGCTAAATACCTGGACATTTGATAGTCTACATATATAAAGCAAGCATCATCTGTGGCAGTGCCTAAACCTTCAAACACTTGCTCATGCATAGAGCTTCTTCTCGTCGGCGAAGAGTTAAGAGTACAATTTTGCGGCCGCCGGATCTTCATTACTCCACTCTCTGGATATCTCCGATGCTCGGAAGCTTCTCTATCCCCAGCTTCCGGAAGCTCGCATCCACCGAAGACTTCCGTACACCTCAATACACTCCTGCACATTTTCTGGAGCTTCCGGCGAGGACATCAGCTCCACGAGGAGCATTTTCTCAGGATTTCAATACAATTTACGCGCTAAACGTACACTACTATTCTCAGAACTTATTTTTAAATTTCCAATATTTATTTTTTCTTTTCAAATTTACTACGCATAGTATTCTTTATTTATTTATTTTTTTTAATTTATCTACGGATTTTTTTTAAAAAAAAATTATGGGGCGGTTGATAACCAGATAGTAAAGGATTTTATTAGAAAATTGAAAAAATTACAGGAAATTTGTTAATTTAGAGATTACAGGAAATTTGTTAATTTGGAGATTTTTTTTAAGTTAATTATCTAATTGCATTATGGCCTGTAATTCGCTCATTGTCTTGTTTAAACAATATTTCTTTATTTGTTAACTTTTCGAATTTACTACTTTATTTAACTTTTTAAATAACCTCAACATAACATTTACAAAAGAGAGTATACTCTCCCGAAAGGGGTAACCAAGTAAATATAATATGATTATTTTACTTAAAGATCATGATATATGAATTCTTGTTAATACCCTCTATCTTGGTTTAAGTCCGTCGCACGAGATCTTTCTACTTTCGAATGCAAATATACAAATAGAGGAGTGAAAGTTGTGAGAAAAGAAAAGGGCAAAATTGAGTGATTTGATCTAAGTGTTTATCATGTGTATACTAGGCAAGTGTTTTGTCTGCTACACATCCATGATCCATACAAGTATACAAGAATCCTATGTATCATGATGACAAGATGGCATGAAACATGTTCTGCACATATGGAGGTAATTTTTCAGTTATCTCCATCAACTTAGACTGTGGTATCTTCCCACTCAACATCCTCAGCTGTTGAATCATCTTCTCCTGGATATCTGGTGTTGCTAAATTTGTCCCAACCCACACAACCTCAGCCAAAACTACAATGATTCTGGGAATGTAAGCATCATTAGGACCAGTAACCTTAGTGTCTGGCCTGAAGAAAATCAAACAAATCATTAGGACCATTAGCCAAAATTGATGAACCCAAACCCAGTAACCTTACTACTCACTCGTCAATCATGGAACAAAGCAGACTGTGAGCAGCTTTGGCTTCATCCAAATTAAACCTTAATGGCAAATGCAGTAGCCAAAGCTCTATATGCTTGTATATGCTACTTTCTTCAGTAAGTAAGAAACAGAGTTTCCCATAAGTAGAAACAGCAGCTTCTTTGGCCATCATGGTTTCTGTGGGTAATTTACCAGGCTGATAAATTATAGCTTCTAGACTAAGGAGTGCATCTGCAGAAACAGATTAAGGAGTTTATTATATATAGCTACCAGTTCAGTTCCCAGTAGAAATGATGAACGAATCGAGGCTACCTTGGAGATGCTGCTTAAACACTTCTCCACCAAACTCCGCACAGATACTAATTGCACACGAAGCTATCTGCACAAGGACAAAACTTAACGACCCGTCATTTAATTAACTACAGGGAAGCTAGCGAGTAAGCACAAACCTCTTCAAGGACCGGATTTGTAGCCTTGCGGCTCTTTAAGGTTTTGAGCAGGAATGGAATGCACATGTCAAAGTGTCTGAAAGTTTCTTCTCCGCAGGTCTCTGCAATGTCTTGAAAAACACTCAACGCAACGTTTCTTTCTTTCCATGCTTTATCGTTTCTCTGCAAAAATACACAAAATAAGTGAATGTTCACGAGAAAATTAAGTGAATATGCTATGCAGACAAGTCACATACCCAAACAAGATCTACAACGGGCAATAGCTCATCCAAGAACGGCAAGAATGAGGCCTCGAGCCTTTCTAACAGAGTTCCCAAGCAAATCTGAACCTGATCGATGCAGAATATATATGAATGTTCGATATTTCAATGACTTAAAAGGAAGTAACACACTTACTTGTTTGTAAATATTATCCTCATCCTGAACTTCCTCATCCAGCAGTTCTGCTGTCCTCAAGTTTTTGCTACTTTTTAGTCTCAATTCTCTTACTACTTTCCTGTTTAAGCATGCCAGAACGACTTTCGATATGCCTTTGACAAATAGTGTTGCAATTTGTTTACTTATACAAGTGTAAGGAATCTGGGAATGAAAGAAAAGTGACATTAGTATGAATTTTAAGAACACTAAACCACGTTTAGAATGAAAGTAAAAGAAGAAGAACCTGAATGCATTGATTCAATGCCTCCAATACTATCACTCGAAACTTTATGTTTGGCTCCTACAAGAACAGTGCAAGCGGTAACACTAACAGCAGATTTGGCATCTCTAAAGTGATTTCAGAGGTAATTAATTTACCTGTAAGGCTTCAAGCAAACCTGAGATTATGGCTTTAGATATGGGAATAATCGGAGTATCAGGAAAATCTGGAATAGGAAGCCGGTTTTCCATAGCAAAAGCAACTGATTGCAACAATAATGGCATAGCTACAGAATGCAGAATGATTAATGTAAATCTCACAGAGTCACAGTACAATCCGGGATTAGGAGACACCGAAAGAAATGAAAGGTTACCTACTGCTGCAGCTGTTCTAACTCGTTCATCGAGTTTAAAATTGACAAGTGGAAGAACAGCATCTACAACCTGCATTAATCATTAAATTCCCAGATTACATTGTTTCTTCTCCGAGGCTCCATTTGATTGTTAAGGATCCTGACAAACCTCCTTAATCCACAAATGCAGTCCTCCTGTGATATGAACAGCAAACCAGCCTAATGTATCACAAGCCAATGACTTCTCCTTCAAGATAATACTTCTTTTCTTATCATCATCATCTGTCAGGTAATCGGTCCGTTTAGCAGACTGAATCAGCTGAGGCATGGAAACACTCAGGTAAGGAAGAAAGTCCATCCCTAAACATCGGCAGATTCCATACCACGCCTGCACAGATATAAAAACGTGTTCGTTTAGTTTAGTCCAAAACCATAGAAAATAGATGAAGTGTCACAACATTCATACCTTTAGCAAATAACGCCTCACTGTGCCATCTTTTCCCGAGTTAGATTCTTGTAACAAGTAGAGATCTTTAACAACCTTTCAAGACACAACAACATAAGAATTAAAAACGAACCAAAAAGGACAAAAACAACAAAATCATACTCACATCTTCGAGATCAGCATAGAACATATCTTTCCCCACTCCCACCCCAATCAAAACAATGCACTTGAGGGAGTAGGCTACAAGGAAGTAATCAGAATCCGCTTTTGCAGTTACTACTGTAACTTTCAGGTAGCGCATTACAATGCCATAGAACGGTCGAAACTCATCCTGCACGTTTACTCAAGAAACGGAGTCACTACCAAAACTGAAAAGATTCGATGGATCGGATTAAGTCCTGAAAAGATACCATGGTTGATTCAGCTAATGTGCCTAAGGCTGCCAAAGCTGCTTCTGTCAACATTATTGGCTCTCTTTGCTGGATTAGAGAAACAAAAATAATAAATAAGATCCCAAAGCTGTTTTACCTAATCAAATTATTACAAATTTATGATACCTCCAAGAGTATAAGCAGTTTGCTTATTATTTCTTTCATGTAAGGTTTCAAGATCTCTGATCTGCAATTCCGGGTGAAAAGCACCAATGCTGTTGCTCCATGTGTCTAAATTTAGAAAAGTATAAACCATTTAGTATCCTCAAAACAAACACGGTGAACCTATTAACTATAAGAATTGCAGTTACCTGCAGTCTGGGGTGGCTGATATCACCAATGGAATGTAATAAAGCAGGAATGATCTGATGATGATATTGTCGTTGCAAATCGGGACATAAGTATTTTGAGAATTCGCCAATGGTATGGATAGCTGCCCAGCGCACTCGAGGGTTAAGATCAGTAACTAGTTTCATTATTTTCTCCATAGAAACTTCCAAGTATTGTATTAACATCTGAAACAAACAAAACCATTAGGCCAATTCAAGTCATCAAAATTGTCACTATATTTAATTACCTTTGAGCAACCAGAGGTGATTAGGCCAAGGGAAGTAACAGCAGCATATCTCTTTTTCCAGTTATCATTTTTAAAGTAATCTGGAAGCAAATCAGGAGGATTGCCCAGAATTATTTCTCCCCTGAGAGCAATTGCCAGTCTTCTCCAAGCTTCCTCTGCATAACGGGATAAAATGTGTTTCCCAGTTTCTCTGTCATCATCATCTACCAGTCCCCACGATTTGTCATCGTTAAGAGCCACCAGCCATATGAGGAGCTGTGTGAGAATCTCTTCAATTACTTCACTGTTCAGATTCTGAATCATCCCACAACCCTCAGTTTTATCCTCCGCCATTACCACCAAGAACTCTACGGTTAGTTGCCTCGTCTTGGGTTTCAAAAGGTCTTTGCTGATTATCTCAAGCATTGATAGCACCAAGGTGTGGAATTCAGATGCAAAGAACGCGGGTCTTTTTTTGGCTAACGCGATAAATTCTTCAAGAATGTCGGATGTAAGGTGGTCGCTATAAACGGAGTCCATCAAGACGGTGACCATATCGGGCAAAAGAATGTAGTAAGCGTCCAACTTGGACGGTTTACGTAAGTGAAAAATCGACTTCACGGCCGCCATGAGAGCTATGGCTCGGACTTTTTCATCGTTTCCGTTCCCCTGATACATTAACATCACAAACGCCTCGTACAAGAGATTAACGGAGGGATTAAAAACGTCGGGGAATCTGGGAATGAGTTCCCGCAGTAAAATAACGGAGGCCAATTTTCTGGGCGTGGTGGAGGGGGGAAATAAAGATGCTAACACGAGAGACAACATTTCCGGCCATTCATTCTTGGGGAAAAGAATGGCTCCCAGTATGGAAACGCAGGTGCAATGAATCTCGAGGGCCGGCCGGTTAGTCTCGGTCTGGAGGAGGTTGACAAAGACGGCCTTGATTTCGGCTTGATGAATGGGGTCGATGGCGGCCCAGCTGCTGGCAAGAAAACGGGAGAGAAGGGAAGAGCAGCGAATTCTGGTTAGGGGGATAGAGGTCATCTCTATGGCTTTAGCGAGCTTGCGACACACGGGGCCGGGAAACTTCTTGACGGCGTCTTTGAAGAGGGAGAGGGAGAGGTTGTCGCCGGCTTGATCCTGGGAGAAGAGGTCATTGATGAGGTCGTAGCAACGGGTTGGGTCATCTCCGTCAAAGATGTTTCTCACCCAGGATTTTGCCGCCATGAAAAAGAAAGTTCAAGAACTCCAGTAGAAAGATGATGAACTCCAAGAGAAGTTCTGCAGGCTCCAACGTGTGAGTTATATATGAGACGAAATGAATTGAAGCCTCAATTCATGATGGTGAGAACGTATATTTTTTCTGTTATGAGACGAAAAAGTTGAACTTTGTTTACTTCTTGTTTACTTCAATTTTTTTATTTTTTTTAAATCAGTTTTTGTTCTTTATTTTACATTTTTTTTTTACTAACATACACTTATTTTTCAAAATTATTTTTGAAATAATAATTAAATATGTCACCCAACTACACGTACCAATGCAATTAGTTATTCAAAACTTTCTTTTTCTAAATATAATTTGGTCTTTCAATAGTCCAAAATTATTCAATTACACTAAAATTGACTTGTTCATTGAATTATCGCTGATGTGGCGGTTATCTTATTAAAAAATATTTATTTAATTTATTTTAATAATTTTGAATAAAATAAAATAAAATAAGACAACTTTATATATGTCAGAGACGAAAAAATGATCTTTATCTCCAAGGCTAGAGGCCAAGATGCGTCATACCCAGCAGCTTGATCTTGACCATTAGTATTATTAAAATAAATAACAATTCTTGTTGCTTATGACTTTATGATGAGGTCAACACAAAAGTCTTGTTGTGTTTACCTTCTTTGAACTCCAACACTTAGCTGAATTTTGTAATAAACAAATTAAAGACCGAATACTAGGCTTATAATAAAGTCTAAAATTTATTCTATATTACATTTTTGGTTCATTAATTAAACTTATTCCTACCAATATTTTAAAGTCTTTATAGTTGGAGAATATTTAACTTTGGATTGAAACTCGATCGGTAGATATATCTACATTATTTGTAAATAGAGGTTGAGTAGCAAACTTTGTGAAATCTTGAGCAAATAGCCAAATAGTGTTGAATTTGTAATCAATTGCACTTGTTTTGTTTTCACTTAGTAATTTGTTGAGAGAACAAGATTAGTAGTGAATTATCTCTTGAAGGATAGAAGAAAAACTGAATAAAGGAATTACTATACACCATACTCGAACCACTGTGATTTTCAAGTTTAATTACTTTGCACATTGATTTTATAAGCATTGATCTCATTTATCTTTAACTAATTTTAATTTTGAAAAATAAATTTTCATTGCGCAACTTATTTTCACTATAGATAATTTTAAAAGGTTTAAAAGTCTATTCACTTACAATCTAATTAAAGAGAGAAAACTCATTATTGTTTGTTTTTTTTTTTTTTTTTTGAGTACTACTGACTCTGTTACAATGCAGTATCTGTTACAAACAATAATCTTGAAAAATTAAAAATTTTGAACATTTTATAGTAATTAAAAATGAACAATAGGTTGAGAAAGTATTTACAAACATATACAATATTTATAAGAGTCAAATGTAAAGACCATTTTACGGATAAGAATATAGATATGCCACTTATAAGTAAAACAATCATTTACAATTGAAAAATAAAAATCACTTACAGTTAAAATTTTCAATATATTTACATTATTTATAACACTCCAAAAAAAAAAAAAAAAAAAAAAAAAAAAAAAAAAAAAAAAGAAGAAGGACGGAAGTGGGAACTAAAGACAAGCTAAAAAAATAACTTTAATTTACAATTTTTTTTTTTACTTAGTTTAAAGGAAATCAAATCCTATTCAAACCGGTATACATATACAGATGGTTGATTGAATGAGTATTACTTTGCAATTATTATTATAAGCAAACTGCAAAGTATCCCCATATCAATAGATTGCTTCAAGAAGATGTTTCAACTGAAATGAGGCCGGGCAAAACAAAGGGATGTGAAAAAAAAAAAATAAGCGATAAAGGTCAAATACGCTCTCTAATTATATTAAAATGTGAAATTAAATCATTAAACTTTAAAAAATTATAATAAGATTCTTAACTCAAAAAAGAAAAACAAAATCAAGTAATTAACGCATTTTATCTATTTTTCCTAACTATTTACCCGTCACATTTTTTTTTTATATTACTATTTTGATTTATTTATTTTTTCTTTTTCAATTCATTTTCATTATTAAAAAATATTTAAAGTTTAAGAATCTGATTACACAATTTAGCATAATTAGAGAGCTTATTAGACGGGTCACAAATTAAACAACTAAGAAAGATGAAGAATTGAAGTTTAATCTTAGCTTCTTTCTTCTGATCTGAGAAGAAGGAAGCTAAGAGAATTGAATGGAAATGGAAGTGTCTGATCTGTGTCAGAGTGAAGAAGAAGCAGAAGTCTGAGACAAGAGCTGATCTAAGAGATCAGATCCCAAGTCTTCAAACACAAACACTACATTATTCCCGCCGGCACAAGATTGCTTAACTACTCCTTTCCCGCTTTTACCTTTCCCACATCTCTTCTTATGCTTCTCCTTCAACGCCTCCGCCGGAGACGACGACCCTCCGCCGCCTTCTTCGCCGCCGCCGCAGTACAGCTTGAGTTCTTGAATGGAGGCGCGGACTCTCTCCACCGGAAAGTTGAGGCAAGATGAGGGCCCACGCATCAACAGCGCCGCCTGATCATAAGCCAAGGCCGCCTCCTCCGCACTGCTAAACGTTCCCAGCCAAACCCTAGCTCCGTTCCTGGTGGTGTCCCTTATCTCCGCCGCGTACTTCCCCCATGGCCGCTTCCGGACCCCTACGTAGTGCTTCTCCTTGCCACTACACTTTTCCCTGGAAATATCATCATCGTTATCAGAAGAAGAGGGTTTAAAACTCTGTTTGATCTCATCAGCTTCCATGTTCAATTACCCTCGATCAGATCACTTCTGGGTAGAAAAATCTTTTCCATTTAGTTTTGTGGGTACAAATGATGAGGCCGGAAAGAATAGGATTAAATAGGTGGACAGACAAGTGGGAAGATGGGGTTGACAGCTATGATGCGATGAGATCATGGTAGATTTAGTCTGACGTTGGACGCTGCTCGATTGGAAAGGTTAACGAAATCCCACCACTGATTTTTTTGCACACTTGCATATTTAATTATTATATTTAAAATAAACCTCTACTTTTTCATTTGATGTCAACTAAAGATACAACAATTTTCTACTGTACATATGTGTATCAGTGTATGCACGTTGCTTTAATTTATAGTTTATACCCCTACCAATTTTTATTTTTTTTTATTTTTAAAAATACAACCGGGTAGAAAAAAAATAAAAAATAAAGATGATATAAATTTTGGTAAGTCATGCTGACTCTACCTATAAAAATTAAGGAGTATTAAATACTTGTAAATCATGAAGATCATATAATTGTTAGTATCAAACTTTTATTACTAATTTACTATACAAAACATTATAGACTTATAGCTAGCTAGTAGTGAATGTATAATTTGGTGGAGAGACAAATTTGTAACCTTGTGGTTACTAAATCAGTATCTTGACCAACTTGATTAGGGTTACCATCAAAATTGCTATGCTATTGATTTATTGAATTGCATGTACAAATGGTATATTAATACATGAGGTAGAAGAGACCCCAATACAACTAGAGTTGTGAAAGGAGAAAAGTCCAGGAATATATATTGATATAGTGAATGAGAAGTCTTACTTAGTTAAGACTTAGCTTGTTTCTAAATAGTAGGGTGGAGTTTGATATATACCGACACTAACTAGTGGTTTGGATGGGTTTGGGATGAGCTCCTTCTGCACAAAATTAGTGCATAGGTTGGTGTTGAGTCTAGTTGTTAGGTTGACTTTATTGAACTCCTGAGATTTAGGATATAGTTCGACAAAAGTAGAAAACCAGTATTAAACTTTATTTCCTTGTATATAACCAAATACATATTTCCTTTTTTTGGTGCGAATGAGGGACCGGGAAGTTTAAAAGATTAGTAAAACACTTCTTGTGGCAATGCTCTTGGCATCTTGCTTCAGAATATCTCTTTATAATTGTATTGTAATCAACGTCATGTTTTGATAATAAGATGCTAAATTTGGCATATATAAATGCTTCTGCCCAACAAACATGAATTGCAGAAATAGCGTTGGTAAGAATATACTTTCCAACTATTTTTTTTTTTTATTACAAGGGAAGGGGTTACTTTCCAACTATTTTGTTGTATTGTATTGTTTTTTGTATTTTTAATAACATAAAAAATATAATAACACTAAGTACATACAAGACCTGGTACTTACGCGCATTGAAGAAATTTTCAAGATGCATACGTGTTTCTTAATTTTCTGTCATTAACTAGCTAGCTAGCATGCATATCTAGGATTTTACCTGTGTTTATCTGAAGCTGCAAGTCCTTATCGATCTACGAATTTTTCTAAATACTCCGTAAAAAAGAAAAAAGAAAAAAGAAAAAATGCGGGCATGTAAGCTCTGTAATTTATTTGATGAAATTGACGATTGGGACATTGTGTTTATCCTTCAGTTATTTCGTCATTTGAGATTGAAAAGTATTATTGTTACTACTATAGATAATATCATTATAAACATATAGTTAAATCTTGATAATGCTGGCTGTCTTGAAGAAAGTCAGCATCTCCCCCAATACTGTGGGGGAACTAACCATGACCGTTTTGGATGGGCACTATATAATATTTAATCAACATATTTAACTATAATTTTTTAATAGAGTAATTCCACGCTTCCTTTTTAAATTAAAATTATGATTTAAAACTTATGGGTCCTCACTTTTCCTTTCCTGAAGATCGATGGAGGGAATAAATCGAAGAATGTACCCCATCGAGCCAATTAGAACAGAGTTTTTCAGGATACATAATTGATATGTGCTAATTCTTAATACTTTTATATGCGTAATTGATACTAAACTCGTATGATTTCATGTAAATTGGAAGTTAAGTATGTGATTGTTTGATTTCTTTGTGTCATTTAGATGATTTGGAGGCATTGATTGTAACATCATGTAAATTATTGGAGTCCAATTGGATGTGTATTGAAGTCATCTTGGCACAACGACGTGTTCCAGGAGTCATGAGAGGACAAGAAAGTGAAAAAAGAGCGAGTTAGAAGTATCATGGATGACTCGTGGACCCAAAGGAGCAAAGGAGATGAAGAAAGATGCATTTTGGAGTGAAGAATAAGGCTCACGCTGACACGGCGTGAGTGCCAGCGTGACTCCATTTTGCTCTGCCAGGCAACGTCTCGGTATTTGGATCATATATCATCGTAGGAATATCCAAATTAAGTGATTCTAACGGCGGTATTGTAATGATATTTCAAAGGGCTACAACTCCTATGAAGACAACAAAGTCTAGTTCTAACGTCTACATGGTGAAAAATGACCTAGAAACCAGAACTGTTGCACATCGTGGGAGGTCACAGGCGTGAGTGTCACCGTGACCTTTGGAACCTGCGAATTGTGCTGAAAAGTCAAGGTGGAACTCACACCGTCAGTCACATCGTGACTACGGGTCCAGAATTATTTTTAAATTGTATTTTTAATCCAATTTGAAGGGTATAAATAACCATAGGAGGTTATTTTAAGGAAACTTTTCATTTTTCACACTCTCTCCGAACATTTCTCATTTAAAATCAATCCAAAATTATTGAAGATGTGAAAATCAATTCATCTTGTAGTCGACTCCAACCTCAATTTTCAAATTTCATCTTACATAGCTCTTAATCAAAGCTAAGTCTTTCTTAGGTTTTTGCTTTCTTTTCATTTTATTTCTTCCCATTGTAAACTCTTAAGACAATAAGACTTCTAGAAAGCAAGACCATGAAAGAAGCTGCAAAACTTCATAGTAGTAAGACTATTGAAGCAATGGAAGTCTTCATATAGTAATTAAGGGTTTTTTGTAATAGTAAAACATTGCCAATAGTAAGGGTTGTAAGCAACATAAGTCTACATTGAGTAGTACGAGTTAGTAGCGACAAGTCTTCTTGATAAGTAGTAAGGCTTATAAGCAATATGAGATTCAACATACAAATTAAAAATTCATTGTTCTTCTTCTCTCAAACATTCATTGTTCTAACAGGATATTAGGTCTGATTAGTTGGAGGATATTCAACTTTTCTGTTGAAGTGTTGTAGATATCTACATCAATTGCAAATAGTGAAAGAATAGTAAGCCTGGAGAGTTATGTGAAAACCTGAACAAACAGTGTTGACTTTGTAATCAAATAACTTGTTTGAATTTTGCTTGTAAATTATTGGGTGAACAAGCTAAGTTTACTAAAGAATTATTACTATACCTTATGAAGGATAGAAAAAGCTTGGATTAGATGAATTATATTATACCATCATCTTCCATCTCCAAAAAAATATTATACCATCATCTTCAAACCATCATAAAATTATATGTCTATTTACATTACACACTTTATTTTATTTAGCAAATCTTATACTGTCTTGGATACATATATAAATCACTTTTTAATTTTTGAAAATCAAAAATTTTCTGTTGCATAATACTATTCGGCCAAATTATTTTGACTTTGATTATTTAGTTAAGTTTTCAACATGAAATTTACTGTTCATGTTGATAAGTTAACTTAATTATTTAGTTATTTTTACAAGGTTATTTACTCAAAAGTTTTAACACACCCCCTCCCTTTCCCAGACTTCTGATCTCTTCACAATCGGACCATCACATCTTTTTCTTTTCTTTTTTTTTTTTCGGAGTATACATCTAATTATATATATATATATATATATATATATATATATATATATATATATATATATATATATATATATATATATATATATATATATGGATGCACTCAGGTGCGAATAAGTGCCCAGGAAGGAATATGCGAACGAATCAGCGCGCGACACGTGTACAGATCTAATAGCTTCAAAAAACGCGGTGGCATTTTCGTAAATAATTGAACATCGAAGTGCAAGTAAAATCACTTACAAGTGCACCTACTTTCACCTATAAGTGCATGTAATTTTGCCTTGTTAGCATTCACTTCCCGTAAACATTCATGCACCTTATAACTATAGGTGCAACTATTTATAACTATCTGTGCAACTATTTATAACTATTGGTGCAAATATTTATAAATATAAGTGCATGTAATTTTGCCTTGTTAACATTCATTGATCTAAGTTCAGCGGGTAGTAATACCTCTGAAAACCACCCGCAAACATTCATGCACCTAGATGCAACTACTTATAATTATATGTGCAACAACTTAGAACTATAGGTGCAACTACCTATAACTATAGGTGCACTTAGTATTGATGCTCAGTGCAAATTTTTACTTGCACCTATAATACATTTTACATGCACTTGTAATACATTTTAATTGTACTTCGATATTCAATTATTTACGAAAATACCACCGCACTTTTTTTAAAAAATCAGTGTTTCTCATCCATTGGATCTGGACACATGGACAGACAAAATCCATTCCTATTTCACTCCTGGGCGAAACATTCGCACCTGAGTGCGATTCTATATATATATATATATATATATATATATATATATATATATATATATTACATTTTTCATCAAAAGTATTATATTTTTCTTTATAATTACAACATTACTTAGGAAAATATAATACATGTTCAAAAAGAAAGATATAATACTTTTGATGAAAAATAATACTTTTATATTAAAATATAAAATTATTATTTTATCTTCAAAAATATTACATTTTTTATTATATAAGTAATAAACATTTTACTCCTAATTTAATATTTTATTTGTTAATATAAATATTATATTTACATATTTATCTGACTCGATCCGTCCTACGAATAAAGATAAATAAGACAATAGAATATATATATATATATATATATATATATATATATATATATATATATATATATATAGTATAATGGGTACTGTGTGAAGAATTTAAATTGCAAAGTCGGTCTTGGGTGCCACTTGGGGGGTTTTGTCTTTTTCCGTCGGCGGAGGCCCCACACGGCCACATGGCCACATCCACGAGGAT